CAAAAAAACAAAAAAAAAAACAATAAAACAAAAAAAAACATCGGGATCTTTCTTTTTGAATGAAAACGAGGCAGATTAAATTATTGCATAGCGACAGGGAAAAAAAACGAACGCTGGAAACAAATCACAAAAAAGAAAAGAAAACAAGAGATAATTACGAGCGCCATTTTAAAGCAGTAGGCGGGAAAATATTATTTGGTGGGTGAACGCGGATGAGAAAAACATCGCCAGTAACTCCAGAAGTACCGCAGCAAAAATAGGGGCGTGGTTGTCGTATATCCCATGCTTAAGCGTCAGTGATTTCGTAACTCACAAATGAATTTGAAACCTCTATCAGTATTATACATTGCAATATATAATAATAATAATAATAATAATAATAATAATAATAAAAAAATATTAACAGAAGGCTATGAAAAATGTGCAATGGCGCTTGCGAAACTGAGCAGCGTTTTGGGTTTTTTTCCTCGCTTTCGTACTTCTGGAGATTATATAGCGCAAAATATAAAAGTAAGCAATTAAAAGCAATTAAAAAATATGAACGGAATAATTTGAGTACAATATGATAAGTGGCTCTTGCATGCATCAGGGAGTACTATGTTACTGTATAACATATTACACGGGGAAACTTCTGTAGGTGCATTATTTGAAAGCATTTTGAGACACTGACTTTTTTTCTTTAAATTTAAAAAGGAATGGATTACATTTAATATAAGACGGTTTTATGTTTCTTTTGTATAGTAAAAAATATATTTCTATTTTTTTAACAATTGTCTTTTAAGAAAAGAAGACATTAGTTCTGCTATTGAAAAAAGTCTACTTGTAAAATCCTTAATATTTACATTCATAGATACATTTACTCGATATGAAGCATTTTCAGAAATTCAAAGATCTTATTATTAAAACTCAAAAGAGAATTTTGACATATTTTTGAGAAACGAAATGATACGGTGTAAAAAAACGCAGGCTGGAACATAATTCAAGCAGCGCGTTGTATTTGCGTTTGTCGTTAAGCACAGATATTCATTTGAGAATATTAAGTAAATTATATATTTAGTATTTTCCAATGAACGGCATTTCAATTGATACGCTTCACGCCAATCTATAAGCGCAGACAACTGCAGCAGACGACGCCATTTTGAGGAGGTCAATTTTTCGAGTTGATGTTTCTTAGCGCTCTTTATTAGTTTAGCTCAGTGGTTCCCAAACAGTGCGTGTGCCTCAGAGGATAGCAGGTGAGGCGTAATGATTGAAAGACAATCAAAGATTTAGAAAAAGTTTTAAAAAATAATATGCATAAAATAAATATAATTTCAAAATGAAAAAAATTATGGATTACTTTAATTTCATGCATGTGTACCAGTATAAATAGTTATATATAATTATTGACTGATTTATCATTGTGATATTTTTGCATTATATCAAGTATTAAGAATATACTAAGCCCCACAAATTCGGGGAGAAAGTTAACCATGATAATGTTCTGATTTCGAATCTGCGGTTATCTCCCTTTAACCTGTCAAAAACAAGCTCATACCTTTCATTAAATTTGCGTACTTTAATCATATTATAAGTTATATAATGTATTGAACGCATTCTTAGTCGTTGTTTTTTTTTATATTTAAATGTAGTATTTATCACATAAAATATGGTGAGGCACGAGCAAATTTTAATTCCAAAACTGCGGTCAAGCGAAAACAAGTTTGGGAACCACTAGTAGACTCTTGTTGAATATTTTATTAATTTTTTATTTCAGCCGGGAAATCCTCTTCAGTCTTTTGTGTTCTTCTTGTGTTTGCGTTCAAGAATCGCTCAGTTTTACTCACAAGATAAAGCACCTACCTGGTGTTTTGTTCAAGGATATCACATAAAAATACTTTTGGGAGTAGCGAGCGAGCGAGCGAGCGAACGAACGAACGATCGAGCGAACGAACGATCGAGCGAACGAACAAACGAGCGAGCGAGCGAGCGAACAAACAAACCAGCGGGAAAAGTGGGTTTGCAGGTAAGAGACGTGTAAGGCGATTAATGCCAAGTTTAAAATGGGGTTTATAGTTACATAAGGATAATCTAATTTTAGTATATGACCAACACCTGTATGTGAATTCATATACCACATGAAAATAACAAAAAATAATAATGATTACAAGCTCTGAATTAATTTAACTATAAGCTACAAAGTTATTTTTGTAGCTAACCGCAGAATTGAGAAATATCCCAATCAATGTAAACACTTTTTTTCTTTCTAAGCAATGTAAATACTACAAAAATTATCAGAATAAAGACAAAAATACAGCATAAATAAAGTTGTATAAGCACAAGTTCTAAATCTTACGCCATTACATACACCGGGGGCAGCCAAAATTAGGATACGAACAACCTATGATACATTTCATATTTTTGTGTACTGCAAGATATTTCGTGCCGTCTATGGCTTCAATTCCTCAGGCTCCAATGCTGCACCATCGACTACATCAACGACGGATAATTTTCTTATTTATTTATTCGGTCGAACTAGCTCAGACATTCATGACTCTATCACGCCAACCATCACGGTCATGCATCAAGTTCATTAGGATGTCATCCTGTGTCATTACATAGGTGGTCAATGAAGGTGGTTGCTGGGTAACCAACCCATCTTGCGCCAGGGTTAGTGTTGTAAGGGAGAATATTTCCCTACAAGTTTGGACTCGGCTATCGGACGAAAGACATAAAATACGCCTACATCAAGAGGAGTAGCAGGAGGAGCAGGGTCAGCAGTAGCTTTTTCTGAAAACAGATTGCCATTCACATTCTCTTCCCTAGTTTCTATTCTACATTATGTTTCCCTGTACCGAAAGATAATAAACTTGTTGTTAAACCAATTCCGGTTTTCTACTGTTTTTTTGAGAATCCAGTTACAACAGTTAGGTGTCCAGAGAAGTAGAGGGGAATCAATAAATACTGTCGAATATTTTACATACCTAGGCAGTGATATTTTATTACTACTCGCTTTATTTTGTGAGGGACAGTAGTCGTGGCATTGATTCTAGAAGAAAGTGAGAGTGAGATAGAGAAGACCCATATCATTCGGTTTGCCAAAATCTCATTGCCACATTCTCACAAAGCAATTAGGTTGTGATGAGTCATCTTGACCCTTCTAATGGTTGAGGCCATCTAAGTGCCATCGCGCATTTTTGATCTTTTATAAAAAAAAATTAAAAACAGGCAATCCATCACTATCGGAATTCCACACCCACGGGATTCAAACTACTCTCACACAGATCGGGTCATCAGAGTTCAGACCAGCAGATTGCTATTCTGGGTCAGACTACGCATAACGTAACAATAAATATTTCTCAGTAATCTTTTCTAATCTGAGATTTTCTTAATGTTTCTTATCTTCCAAAATTCCTTCATTCAGCACTCACTCAAATCCGACATTAAAATGACAATTTAAATTCTTAATTATTTTTACTAAGAATAAACATTAATCTTCTCCAGTTTTAGCCTTGACTGCCTAGCAGTCTAGGACAATGATAACTGGTTGCTATGCTAATGGGCAGATTAAACATTTCAGCCTTGATTGGAAATATATCTAGATAGGGTATCTCTATAAAACACCCATCCCCCATTATCCTGGAGGAGTCGTATATAAGTTGTGCAATCGAACACAAGCGGAGATAGAGTCTTAATAAATGTTAAACTTACGTTTTAAATCAAGCGCGGTTATAAGTCATGTCGGATATTATTTCCTATCTTCTATATCAACTGTTATAAAAAAAAAAGGGATCTCAGCTGATATTTTTCAACAAATGGCAACGTTAAAGATTTGCACGTGGTTCGTGAATCCTGTTTTGGCTACCCGCCGGCATTTTTCATATTTAATCTCATAAAGCGGGCCAAAATGGCCGCGATTGAGATTTTGGCAAATGTTTTAATCATTAAAGACTTTAGTGAACCGAATGAGGTCATGGTTACAATATGCATCTGGTAGCCCATTAAATATAAACATGTGAGCGTTACAAAAATAAGCTAATAGCATAAAACGTGACTGTTTACATGAAATGTTGTTATTCGCACTATTTACATCGTTCGGACTGTTGTCCCCATCTTTATTGCCAGATTAACGACGTTTCGACCGTTATACGCTCCGGTTTTCGTCAGGTGATATACTTTGGAATTTCGAACTGAAACCATTATTTCGTCAACCGGAGCAGAGTGTTCTAATATCAAAAAATGACTCAAGCCAAAGCGTTGCGAATTCAATATCTGATCACAGCAGTGGAAACAAAAACTTGCAGAGTTGAATTGCTAAAAGGAATTAACTGAAACTGGGATATCAAAAAATAAAAATAAAAATAAAAAAAATTAATGGCACGTGGAATTAGAATAATCTACGCCCGGGTATTAAATAAAGGGTTTGGTTCGAAATTTCAGCTTATAGCACCTGAAGAAGATCGGAGCGTACACCGGCCAAAATGTCGTGAATATGGCAATAAAGAGTAGGACAACAGTCCGAATGATGTAAATAGTGTAGTTACAATACCACATCTCAGAAATATAGACAAATGAAGAAACGTGGCTTTAAAAAAATACCAATAGCCTATTTTGCATATTCTGTTAAATAACATTATATTTGAAACGTTTCAATGATTAACATTTTTCTTGTATGAAGATTATCTATCAAACTCAACCAATAGTCCTCAAAGATTGTTTAACGTCACAGATATATCATCATCTCTCTGTAGAGAATAATAAGCATAAAAATATTTAATCACACTTAATCCCGAAACAAAGTCGGCCATTTAGCAAAAGAGTTTACGTAATAATATGTGCCGTTAGCGAAAAGAAAAATGCTACGTTCAGTTAAACAAGTTGTATACAACGTTTAGTAATATACAGTTTGATAGCTATTTAATAATAATTGATAGTTATTTTAAAGAATTGTCCTAGAGGGATTGTTAAATTATTCCTATTGAAAACGATTTCGGATTTATTAAATAACATTTTGTACTCACCTTTGGGTGGTGGAGCTTTCTGAAAACATAAAAATAATAAGTAAAAATAACACATGAAAAGATATTTGAGAGTGAAAGCGTAAATGTAATCGTAACATCTAAAAACTCGTATTAATTTTGTTTGATTTTATTTTTAATGCTTCTAATATTGGTAATCGTTTTTATACAGCTTATCTTGTATTTTTGTGTTATTGATAAAGATTTGTCGGATTTATTTGTGATTTTTTTGTATTGTTTAGTAATCCATTCAGTTGAACTATTACCGGATAAGTGACAATAATGTATGGATTGTCTAACGAATGTACTTATTGCTTGAATTATTATTAGAGAAAGTGAGTAAGCCAATTCATAAGTAAAATATAAACACAGTAGGGAGAGTTTCAAATAGGCAGAGGAAGTGATAACCCCAATAAAACTAAATACTGTGAGGATTTTTAAAAAATTCTAGTTTGAATGAAATTACAATGGATATAAAAACATTTGGTAAATGTTTTTCATTCCAGAAAAAAAAATTACACACATTTTATTAACTTCATAAGGAGTCAACAATAACTTTGGGTCATGTTCAACTCATGTCATTCAAAGGAACGAAGACTGATAGATGTGGCACAAGGCCGAATGCATGGGGCCCTCTATGAAGATCCAGCTCATTACTCAGTCGTAATTGTTCTAACCATTAGATGCTTAACTGATAGCCGAATACGGTTACATAAATAACAGAAACAATTACATATTTAAATCATGGCGGCATCCTAAAATGTTAGTTTTTACGAAAGAAAACAGTTATTGCTCTCCACAGCTTCCTTTTTATTTTTCTCATCTGTAAATTGCCTTACTTCTTGTGTTTGACGATAAACTACATCCAGCAGCAAGGTCTCTGATCGGGAGATTGGAGTGCTGCAACTGTACATTTTACCAGAATGATATATATATATATATATATATATATATATATATATATATATATATATATAATATATAAACCTAAAGAAATGATATGCAAAATATATATATATATTGCATTTTTATTAAATAAGTATTTGTTATTTTAATCATTCGTTTTTTTTAAATAGTGGGAGGATTTTGTATGTTAAATAATAAAACTTTTCATTTTTCGCTCTCAAAATAATGAAAATTTATTGTACAAGGTATGCACCTAGTAAAAGCAGCTGTACTTTGTACCCCTTCCATGTTTGCACTTCAACTCAAAATTTGGTTTCGAATGGTCAATGTATGGCTATTTTACAGGTACGGACGGAATATATATATATATATATATATATATATATATATATATATATATATATATATATATATATATATGTATATTAAACATACCTTCTTTTCTTCTTCTTTCTTTTTCAGTTCAAGTTCTTTCTTTTTCTTCTCCTCTTCCTCTTTCTTTAGTTTTTCTTCTTCTTCCTTCTTTTTCTTCAACTCCTCCTCCTTCTTTTTCTTCTCTTCTTCCTCCTTCTTCTTTTCTAGTTTGCGTTCATCTTCGGCCTTCTTTCTCTCTTCATCCTTCTTCCGCTGCAGTTCCTTCTGCTCCAGCTCAGCCTTCATTTTCTCATCGTTCTTTTTCCTTTCCTCCTCTTTTCGTTTCATTTCTTCCTCTTTTTTCTTTTTCTTTTCATCCTCTGCACAAGGCGAGAAAAAAAAAGAAAAGAATCATTTACATCAGCGCGGCAATGCTAATTTAAGATGGTAATTATTTAAATTAGAATTTTCAAACACATTGGCTGCATGGAAATGCATTAAACATATTCATATATTGTCCTAACATATTTTTTTACACTTTTCGGGAGTTATTCCGAATTCATTTTCTAATAAATTAAATTAATATAAATCAGCATAAAAAATGGCAGGGTTATTTTAAAAAAAGAACTCAAAGTAACAATAATTAATAGATAAATAAAAGTTCATAAAACCTTACCTTCCGAAATTAAGTTTTGTAGATATACTACACGTCAAGATAAAATAAATCTATTGAATTCATTAACAGATATCATATGAACCGTGAGTTCTATTCTAATAGTTTCTTCACTAGCATTTCTCGCCTGTACCACTTTTTTTTTCAGTTTTTTTGCTTTCCTGACAACTGCGATCGTCAAAAATTTAAATACAACGTCTATCGTCATATTGTGTCTCATTTATTGTTTTCTCTCCTCAATAATGTTTTCTCAGTTTCTTACACTTTCGGTAAAGCGTCTTAGTGGCTTTATTGCCTTGCTTTAGGTGGAATGATTAAAATGAAATCTATACCTAATTTAAATACACTCCACAAATATCACCCATTATTTACCGAAAATTAATTTGAATTATGTAATTCACTAAAATATTATATCGTAACAACGTTTAAACGATAAGAATACGTGATATGAAACTGTTCAAATACATACATACATGCATTTAGCCTGACGTGCCTTAACCGATCGAGCCACGGAGGATCGTTCGATTGAGCAGATATGATTGAGCAGATATGAATGTACGTGAGAGAGTCATCAAAGATCGAAGTTTAAAAGCAGTAAAATCGACCTTGCTAATCGAATGATCCTCCGTGGCTCGATCGGTTAATGCACGTCAGGCTAAATGACGGTTCCGTATAAGGATACAGGCTCGATTCCTGTCGGAAGACGAATATTTTCTATGAAAATTTCTCGGACATTCAGGCCGGTAAATGTTATTAATACTGTTTATTATAAAACAGAGCATTTACTTAAATATTTGTATCTAGAAAAAGAATGTACAAACATAAAAATGTCATAAAATAATTGTCGGAATTTGTCCATTTCATAATATATATATATATATATATATATATATATATATATATATTGCACATATATAAAATTGAACAAGTTGTTCTAACAACTTTGTTTCGTGTTTTTTATCAATATCTTTCAGTCGATGCATTTTTTTGAAAATTATATTTTATCTGTACCATATAATTTTTGTATCGCTTTTTTTTTTGTGGCATATAATATTTGTATCACATTGTTTGTGTGTTTTAATTTTTGTAACAGGGGATTTTGTGTCATTTGTCGTTGCCTCACATAATTTTTGTTTCGATTGTTTTTGTCTCACGTGAATTTTGAGTTATAATTTTTGCATCACATTATTTTTTGTATTGGATGTTTTCGTATCACATGATTTTTGTGTCGTATAATTTTTGTATCATATGATTTTTGTATCATGTATATGTTTTTTGTATCATATGATTTTTGCATCATGTATATGTTTTTTGTATCATAACACGAGTTTTTTGTATCAAATGTTTTTTGCATTATATAATTTTGTATGACGTGATTTTTGTATCATGTTTTTTGCATCACGTGTTTGTTTTTTGTTTTTAAAAAAACTTCATACTCACCCTTGACAGTCATTTTGGCTGAGCCTTTCACCGACCCAACTGGATTTTTAAGTTCAACTGTATATTCTCCAGCTTCTTTGGGGTAACCTTTGACATGTAGAAACGAGCTGTGCCTCGTTCGTAAGTGATACTCACTGAAGATGATGATTTGATCTCTTTACCATCCTGATACCAAATTGTCGTAATTGGTTCTGTTCCCGAAACCTTCAAGGTGATATCCATGGCTTCTCCGAGAGTAAATGTCTGAAATAGATAAGAAAACAAATATGCAGTTACAGAGAAATTAATTAAAATAACATTATTTAAGAAAAAAATATTGGAGCGTTTTCGGTGACTTTTTTTTCCTTTCCTTTTCATTTTTTATATTAACGTATTTTTATTACTTTAAACGTTATTTTTAGTGGATGCCCATATTTGTGTAGACGCCCCGTTTATTTTAAACAGTATTTCAATTCGTATACCGACATAACATTCGGGAAATCTTGTTCAAAATATGTTAGACCGGTTGACGAAATAAAATACTGTTTAAAATAAATGGAGCATCTAATCAAATACGGGTATTCACTAAAAATATGGTTTAAAGTAATAAACATATATCGGGATAACAAATTAAACCTCCATTATTTCTTTAGCGTTTCTTTGTTTATGTTTCGGATACAAAACTGAGCAGTTGCGAATTTTCGATCATCTGAACGATGGAAATGTGCTGTAACATGTAAAATAGAATCTTGCTTGGTCTTCGTAACCGAGTTGGTGAAAGCACGTCGGATATAAAGATAATTAGTCCTGCAAATGTGTAAGATTTCTCGAATGTTCAGCCCAGTAGAGGAAGTAAAATAATATTTAAAATAAATTATTTTGACTTTATTCAGCATTTTTATTCTTCCTTCCTTTGTTTTCATTTCACCAATATTCCAGCCTCCCCTCCTTTTCTTTCCTTCGTTCCTCCTTTCTTTCCCATTTCAGCAATATTCCCTCCTTCTTTCCTTCCTCCTTTCCATCTAATTTGTCCAGTATTTCCTTCCTTCATGCCTTCCTTTTAAATTTTATCGTGATTTTGACATCGTTTCTTCTGCCTTATCATATATCCTTCTTTCATTCATTCATTCATTCATTCATTCCATCCTTCCTTCCTTCCTCATTTTTCCAATATTCACTTCTTCCATTTCAAATTTTGTCGAGATTTTGTCATCGTCTCTTCTATATATACTGTGTCCTTTCTTCCTTCCTTCCTTCCTTCCTTCCTTCCTTCCGTCCTTCCTTCCGTCCTTCCTTCCTTCCTTCCTCCCTTCCTTCCTTCCTTCCTTCCTTCCTTCCTTCATTCCGCCCTTCCTTCCGCCCTTCCGCCCTTCCGTCCTTCCTTCCTTCATTCCGCCCTTTCTTCCTTCCGTCATTCCTTCCGCCCTTCCGTCCTTCCTTCCTTCCTACATTCCTTCCTTTATTCCGCCCTTCCTTCCGTTCATCCTTCCTTCCTTCCTTCCTTCCTTCCCTCCTTCCTTCCTTCCTTCCTTCCTTCCTTCCTATTTCTGCAATATTCCCTTTCTTCTTTCCTTCCTACCTTCCTTCTCATTTGTCCAATATTTCCTTCCTTCATGCCTTCCTTTCAAATTTTTGTCGGGATTTTGACATCTTTTTTTCTGCCGTATCATGTGTCCTTCCTTCTCATTTTTCCAATATTGACTCCCCCCATTTCAAATTTTGTCGGGATTTTGTCATCGTTCCTTCAATCTTATACTGTGCTGTCCATCTCTTCCTTCCTTCCTCCTTTCCATTCTTCCTTCCTTCCTTCCTTCCTTCCCATATTCCAATATTCCTATCCTTCCTTCCCATATTCCAATATTCCTATCCATCCTTCCCTCATCGCATCCTTCCTTCCTCCCTTCCTTCTCATTTCTCCAATATTCAATTCCATCTTTTCAAATTATGTCGGGATTTTAACATCGTTCCTTCCTCCTTCCCTCCCTCCCTCCCTCCCTCCCTTCCTTCCTTCCTTCCTTCCTTTCTTTCAGTATTCCCTTTTCTTGTCTATCATTTATTTCCAAATTCTATAGCCTTTTCTTTGCTCTTATAACCCTTTGCTCTTATTCGGTGTGCGTGTTACCTTTGAAGTGAGCTTTGTGATAAACTTTGGTGCTTCTCCTTTAACTCTTGGTGGAATCAATTCTGAAATAAGAAGAAAAAGAAAATATTTTATTCAGAAACAAAACCATTCTAACGAATATTTGAAACCGTAAAAAATCACTAAGTTTCACTTTTTATTTAGTTTGTTGTGTCACACAGATTCTAATTAACTTCTAGAATCCTCCTACGCTGCCAGGTTTTCTATCAAATAATAGGATTCGTTCTAAAAATAAATAAGTTCATATGAGTCTTTCATTAATAGCGAGTAAGTGTATGACAAAATGGGACGCGTTATATAGCATATTTCCATTTTCACATTCAATTCCCCATCATACAAATAAGGATTAAGCCTAACTTAAATGTGGCACAAGGCTTCAAGTACGAAGCACCCACTGAAGATCGAACTTATTACCAAGTCGTAATTAATCTAAGTATATATATATATATATATATATATATATATATATATATATATATATATATATATATATATATAAAAGTGAACATTGAAGTCAACACTCAGAGGCAACTGGCTGTTTCATGCTGGACGCAATCGCCTGACGATATATATATATATATATATCTATAATCTATAATCCAACAGAATGATAAAATAAAGAACAAATAGGAAATGTATATCAATGTAATATCTTTCACTTTTATTAAAGCTTCGTCAGAGAATGAGAGAAAATAGACAAAAAGACAAAAACTCTGGTATTTTAAATTTTGTTTGGGTCAGTTCTCATTGGTCAGTCACGTGCCACGTGCATTAAAACCGTAGATAATTATATATATATGTAAGCGTGTGAAGATTCTTGTATGTCTAAGCAGGCATAGGATGCTAATGTGTTTTCGTAATTATGTATCTGTGTCTGTCTAGTGTCTTCATCTTTGTGCGGGCAGCCAGGACAACGGGATGTCACAGCAGTCTAATCTATGACTGATGCTTTTAAGCATGTATACTTTGTATTAAATCGATATAAGTTAGATTCTTTAAGATTCAAACAAAGATGCCGAAGTAATGTAATGTTTTAGGCGTGTGTTTATGGTTGGTAATAATATTATTATTAAGTTTTCAAAGTATTTTCTCCTTAAAGAATTATGTTCTTTTTTAATTACGGTGGAATTAGTGAAATCAATATTATGTCCAGCATTGTTTCGATCCAAAACGAGAGAGATCGTTTGTCCAATCGCAAGTCTCTCTTGTGTTTGTAGATGCAGACTTTTAGATCACGTGATGCCTCCCCTACATAAAGCGGATATTGATGTGATAGTCTGGAATTCAAAACATTCAGACTTACGATGCTAGTAAATTTAATAATTTAAACCGAGTGGGATTTTCAAAAAAAAAAAAATATGAAATTAAGTCACTTACGTGTGGATGACAATTTCATTAATTGAACTGCTTCTCCAAATGGTGTTTTTACGACACATTTGTAGGTACCAGCATCTTTGGTTGTAACCTGTCGAAAAATAAGGGAATTATTAATTGTATGGAAGAAAGTGTTATTTTCCTGTGTCTTTAATTAGGATTGTATTTCAATAAAAAAAAGAAAAGAAAGAAAAACATCGTGACCATTTATTTACAGTTCCCAGTGCTCGATTGGCCGTTAGGTTTCATCATTTTAAAGTTTAAATTGTTAGATATAACCATAAGTTCTATGCTAATAGTTTCTTTTCTCATATTTCACGCTTGTGTGACTCTCTTCTGGATTCTTACGTTCTTTGATCTTCAAACTGATAATGTCAATAGTTATCGTCTGTTTCCTTGGATCCCGTTCTTTTATCGTTTTCTCTAATTAATAAGGATTTTTCTCAGATTCTTTCACTGTCAATAAAATTTCTTGGGGTGAAATGCTTAAAAGAAATAATGACTTCTTCGGTGTAAGTATTTGCAAGAAATAGTAATGCTCGACTACCAGAATCAACATCGTTTGGTATTTGCGTCTACTCGACATTTTGGAGTGATTTTTTCTTCATATCAATGAGTTTCTAGAAAGAGCACTGGACTGCTATGTTATGTGTATCTATCCTACGTAGAAGTGACATCTGGACAATTTCATCACAGATAAAGATGATACTTGAGGCAACGGATGGATGCCGAGAATTCCATGCACTGAACATATGAGCAATGAGAAAGTTTTAAAGGAAATGGTAACTAGAAATATATTTATAATTCAAACCAAAGAGTGGCAGTTGAAATTTCTCGGGTACATTATGAGAAAAGACGGCTTCGCAAATGCAATACCAAAATGATATGTTGAGGGAAAGAGGAGCAGAGGGAAATAGCCAGCATACTTACTTAATGAGTTCAAAGTTAATTAGATCAACAAATGACAGGAAAATGTGGAGAATCATGATCACCTACTTAACGAGTTTGTGTGAGAGATGGCAGAGAAAAGGAATGGGTAAAAAAGAGTTAAAAGTTAATTAGAGCAACAAATGACAGAAAGCTGTGGAGAGTCATGATCGCCTATATAATGAGTTTGTGTGATAGATGGCAGAGAAAGGACATGGGTCCTAAAAAGTCAAAGTTAATTAGAGCAACAAAAAATGCGACGGTGTGGAGAGCCATTATCACCTACTTAATATGTTCGTCTGAATTTAGGGACGCTAAAAAGTTTCTTATAGCAACAGAAGATAGGAAGTTGTTGAGAACCATTATCGCCTCCTTAATGTTTGAATTGACAGAGCAAGCACAAAGAGGCGTGGCAAAGAACGAAAAGTTACTTAGAGCTACAAAGGATAGGAAGCTGTAGAGAGCCATGATTGTATCCTAACAACTCATGACACATAAACGAAATAGTAGATTGTCTCATGGGAGATTCAGCGTATTCCCAAACACAGCGATCAGTGTTATAAACTAGCATCATGTAATGTGGGATTAGCGAACCGTGTTCAAACTCCAGCGGGATCCGTAACGTTCACTTTAGTACAAATACAAATCCATCCCGCCACTCCAAGCGCCATGATTTAAATAATACCACGGACTAGGTTCTCTAGCCTTGCTTGGCAACCCGCCTAGGAGAAAGACAACTCTAAATTCAAAACTGTTTAGGCATTAGGTTAGCAATTCCACTGCGTAAAAACATAGTTGATACTTAAACCGCAAAAGCACAACCTAGCTTGTGGTAATTGTCACCTTTACTCTACAGGGGAGTTTGCTGGTTCAGTCAGCATATACCCATACTGTTTGTAGTATCAGAAACTGGAGATCGAACTTAGGTAAAGACAGTAATCAGTACGAGGCTGTTGCTCTCAGGAGGCGTTCTAGAATATTCCCCTTAAATAAAATCTTAAACTTACTCATATTGTCAATAAACAACCCCCAGATGGGTCGCTCAGAATTAAAATAATCAAGGCCTCCAAGCAGATATTGGTCGCAGCTATGGACAGAAAACAAAATCAAGAGTAGGCACGAATTTTAGAAAGCGAGACGTGATTTAAAATATGAACCTGTTAATGATGATAGCTGTTGCATTTAAAGATTGTCTTGAAGAAAAATCCTTACCTGATTCATGCTCATTTTTGCAAAGTAACTCTGCTGGCGTTCGGTGATTTCCATGGTATATCTGCCGCCAGTTTTCAAAGGTGTGTTGCCGTAAAACCATTCCGCGCCTGAGGGGCGTTCGTTGCCATCCACTTTCTGCTCGAAGGTAACCTTCCCTTGGTCCAATTCTACATTGATTGATGGTTTTTCTTTAAATTGGTTTGCGGCTTCTTTTTTGTCCTTTTCTCCTCTGTCATCCCCGAAAGAAGAAAAAAAAAAAAGCAGAAATTATTGAAGAAAGAATTTAAGAAAGCTCTGTTATTTATTTCATATGTTAACCAATTTACTGGGAGAATTTGTCACTTTTTTTTTAAATAAGCAAGTAAATCACAATTTTGTAAAGCGTTTAATTTTAAATATATATCGCAACCTCCCCTGAAAAATCCAAGATGAAGTCACTCAATAATACATCCATCAAAAGAGTTGAGGACTTCAAATATCTTGGATTACACATAATAGATTCCTAAAAAGACTTCAATATCCGCAAAGCTCTTGCATGGGATGCGTGTAACAAACGTCATAAGATTTGGCGCTCGAACCTTCCACCTTCTTTAAGAATCCAAACCTTTCGATCATTGATTGAACCAGTCCTACTTGTATGGATCAGAAACTTGAACATTATACGTTCGTCTTGAAAGACGAATGGATGGAGCATATACAAATCTACTTAGAAAAATTCAAAACATCAGTTGTTGATACCATGCAGTGCTTAACACAATTTACGAAAACGAGTCTCCCTTGAGCTCAAACAAAAATGATTACAGTTTGCCGGCCACTGTAACCGAACAGACAGGAAAATCGTCTCATCCTTACCCCTATGGCATCCTTCTGGAATTGTCTTCTCACGAAAATTAACCTTTCCAGACACCATAGCTCGTGACTCAGGGTTGGACATTAGGGATCTGGGGACAGCAATGCAGGACCAAACAGTGTGGAAAAGGATTTTCAGTGGAGTTCTGACCAATCATAGAGACGTCGAAGGATGATAATGATGATCATGTATGTTAAATAAAATACGACCAACGATTACTCTTATTTTAAGAGACCAGAACGAATCTTTAAAAGTACGAGGTCGTAGTATACAGTTCTGTCACAGAACGCTGCTGGTTCGAATACCTTGTGGGCGTGAAATTCTGACAATGATGGATTACTTTGTCTATATTTTGGATATAAGACCGAAATAGTCCGAAGCCAGCAGAGTCCCGCAAGAAATTTGAAGCGTCGACACGCTTTCCAGAACCAGATTTCTTAGAGAAGCTAGGCCGCATGTGGTGGGATACTAAGCCAACAAGTGGCCATGCGCTCCCCTGAAGTTCTTCTTCCCGCTGAATCCTAGAATCGATTCTACCATGCATGTGTCTCACGTTTAATAAAACAAATAAGATAAAAAAAACTGTCTTTCGTTGATACAGTCTATAAAGTGACGCTAGGAACTGAATGGCTGAAGGCAGCAGTAAATATCACAGAGCCGTTCCAATATAACGTTGCAATATCTCATATAAAAACAGAACATAAATATATAAGCCGGTGCCAATTTTGTTATTTTTAATCGTGTTCACTCCAAGCTAGGCAGTAAAGTCACTATAACACAAGGTGTTACGGGGTGTGGAGGATTTAGAAAACAGAAAAATTACTAAAGAGCGAGAACAATAGAAAGGTAATCAGGACACAAGGTAACGACTGATATTGCGTTTAAATTTTTGAAAATTAAAGTTTACCTGAAAGCATGGAGCCGGAAAAGAGTTCCACAAGTAAGAAGTGCGAGAAAATAAAATGTTAGAATTACATTTACATCTCTCCAAGGCGAAAATAAATTGATGAGACATCGACGCCAGTCTAGAATGCACTTAAACTCATAAAGTAGACACCATACCGAAGAACTCATCCGAACAATTACCATGAAAGTATTTATAGAAAATGAATAGGGAGACAACTGTATGGCAGTGAGAAAGTGACTGAAGACGAGATGCCAGGTCAACACCAATAATATTATAATTCTTTGGATTTCATCAAAGATCTCTAAATATAGTGATTTTCCAAGCGTAGCATGGAGCACCTAGTGAGGATCGAACTCACGACAGTTGTAATTGTTCTAGCGAGACAAGCTTGTTAACCATTACACCGCCTCGAGGTGTCCAAAGGATCTCTAAATATATAGCAGGAGCACCAGACCATAAGTGAGTGCAATATTTCAAGCATGAACGAATAGTAGACATATATATGTAAGATAGATTCTGGAGAGATAAATTCTCTTGCACGAGAGAGTGAACAAATTTTTCTTAGCAGCCGAGCTAGCAATTTATTCAATATAATCTTTACACTTCATGTCAACCAAGAATATTAGCCAGAGATAGTGCAACGAGTTACTCTAATAGAGGTTAGCATCGGCCATGGACGGTACAAATGAATGGTGGTTATGTGTGGTTCGCAGTTGAGCGGTCAAATTTTTTGCAGGATATTCACTTGATAGCCTCGGGATATAGCATTTAAAAAGATTTTAGTAGAATAATTGTTGCAATTTAAAATGTTAAAATAATTCAAAACCTTCTTCAATATCGTTAAACGAAAAGTAGCCTTCTGAAATGCAGTCCCTATTGGTATGTTCTGGTAAAATTTAAAGATATACATATCTATTTCTAATATAAAGTTGTTTACTTACGCATCAAGATTCACAGTTGCGTTTGCAGTGGCTTCACCTTGGGGAGTTTTTACAACAAGTTTGTATTCTCCATTATCATCTTTCGTGACACCCTGTACAAAGAAAATATTAGGTTTATTCATAAAAGGTGGAGGCCATCTTTAATTTTGCAAATACTTTGATTATATTTTATACATAAGTATTTTCAGCGTAACCCAGATATAAGAGACCCGGATATAAGAGAAACCCGGATATAAGAGAGATTTTCTCTGGTCCCAAATTAGATCCTGTGTTAATGTATATAAAATAAACCAAACCCGGATATAAGAGAAACCCGGATATAAGAGACTTCTTCTCCGGTCCCGACAACTCTTTTATATCCGGGTTACACTGTAATTGCATTGGCTGTATTTTCTGCATGAGTAATCTACGATTTTTATCTCTTTAATAAACATTATTGTCACATGTAAGAAAGAATTCTGCCATTTAAATCATCAAAAGTGAAAATATCCAATAAAGCTAACACGACTGGTACCGACAAAACATGATAATTAAATTTACTTAATTTTACAATTGCATTGGTTATATTTTCTTTATTAGTAAGCTCGGATTTTTGTCTGTCGGCACATGTGAGAAAGAATTCTGATTTTACAATGAAATATAAAAACAATCAAAGCTAACACAATTTTTCCTCAAAGACATATTCACAAGTTGACCACTACCGACAATATTTTATTCATTTTACAACTGTATTAGTTTTAACTTCTGCATCTGTCATCAAGGAATTTTACCTGTACAAATAATTCCGTAAGTTACATGTAAGAAAAATTCTGTTTTAAAGCCAGCACAAAACACATATACATATATGTGTATGTGTGTTAATAATAACAAAAAAAGCAATATAAAACTCAATTTTCAGAACAATAGGTTAAATACAACAAATTTTACAGGCGAATTATGCAAAATAGGAAAAGACAAAATTATTCGTACGATATGAAAAATAGAAAAAATTGAACAATCTTCGCAATATTAATAGTCAATAGCATGGCCTTTTATATTCCTTTTTTTTTTGTGTGTGCTTATTAAAATATAAAAAACTGTCATCAGATGGTCATTAGATTCTGAGAAACGGATAAAAGTATTCCAAATTGATGGATGAACAAATAATTTCGTTGTTGACTGTATGTTCGAGAAAGTTCGGAGAAAATAAATCGAACCGTCATTAAGCCTGAGGGGCTATGACCGTTCTACCATAGAGGACTTCTGCTTTAGCAAAACTCGAATTACTGGTTTTAAACACACACTTTCGTCGATTTTTCTCGATTTATCATATCTTCTCTGAAATTTTAGCCTAACGTTTAAAATATTTGTCGGATTTAATCCATTTTATATAGAGAGAGAGAGATATAGATAGATAGATGTGTGTGTGTGTGTGTGTGTGTGTGTGTGTGTTGAAAGCACGTTTTATTTAACAACGTTTTCTCTTGCATAGGAGGACGCAAGTTCGAATCATGCTGGGGGGATCATTTTTCTTTAAATGGATTTCTCGAATGTTCAGGCCTGTAGACAAAATAAAATACTGTTTAAAAAATAGATACAGCATCTACTCAAATATGGCTACGAACTAGCATTCCCCATTTGTTGAGAAAACCATAGTCTGATTCGACTGGTCAGATGCTGGTTCCCACTAGAAAAAGAGGACGCAGCTTCAAATTCTTCCGGAGGATATTTTTTTTTTTTTTATTGAGCCTTCCAAATAGGCAGGTCAGTAAGCGTAATTCACACTGATTAAAAACAAGTACAAAAAAAAACATAACAAAACAAGTCGACTAACGTGAGAATCTACAAAAATAACATTTATATATATGACGGTTCTGTATAGAATGCAGGTTCGAATCCTGTCAAAGGACGAATATTTTCTATGAAAATTTCTCGGACATTCAGGCCGGTAAATGTTATTTAATACTGTCTATTATAAACAGAGCATTTACTTAAATACTTGTATCTATAAAAAAGAACGTTAAACATAAAAATGTCTTTAATATATATATATATATAGAGAGAGAGAGAGAGAGAGAATATCAGATTCGTAAGTGGAAAGGATAATCCAAGTGGTTCTTTTTAATATAAAATATTAAAAAGATAGATCCGTAGAGAGCTCAACGTATAGAATACAGAGCAATATAATAGATATGTCATCTGTATCTTCGGTCTGATGAGACTTACTGGTCGAAATAAATCATGATTTATTACCGTATTTTAGTGATGTGTTAAGCTTTTCCTTGATGTATATATATGCATACATATACTTTTACAAACTTTGGGAGCGGATTGCTCACACCAAAACAAGGACAAAAGTCCATATAAACATATGTCAGCAAATCATTCGTTTCTGAGTCATTAAGTTTAAAGAATGTTTACTTTAGATAGCGCTGAGTTGCTATGTAGACTAGATTACGTTTGTCATTCGTGGACATTTGTAGCTAGTTTGTCGTCAAAGTTTAACGTGTATAGTAGTGAGTTAACTGAGAAGATTTTTTGTTTAACAATGGCTTGATATTCATATCGTGAACAGACGCATATGATCTTTTACATACAGCCGCGCGAATGATAATGGACGCGAGGTTGCACGGCTGTATCAGATTGTGTTTCCAGACCGTAGGCAGCCGAGTCATTCAACATTTGCTGCAGTTACTTGTTGTGTGGCTGAGATAGGATCTGTGGCAACACTAATCCTAACCCTATTTTCTATTTTATTTGCCGTCACTCATTCTCGAAAAAATAAGCGTTTGTGAAATTGTGTACATGCTTAATATATACATACAGTAGTTTAAAAATGTAGACTACAAGATTAGGATGTAATATTTGTAAAAATATAATAGCGTAAGTAAAATAAACTGAAAAACGTAGAACTTACCATGATATCCATGAAAAACTTATAGGTGTTTTTGTCTTGAGTTGTTCGCATTTTGTAGCGTATGTTTTGCCTTAAAATAGTATTCCCCTTGTACCACATGACTGTAGGCTTAGCAGAGGCTGTACAAGTGCATTCGATCGTCATGTTCTTTTTGGTTGCGTCTAAACCGACCTTTGGTGCGTCGGCGAAAGTAGGAGCTGCTGCCTTCTTTTCAGCCTCTTTCTTTTCGGCTTCCTTCTTTTCGGCCTCTTTCTTTTCAGCCTCTTTCTTCAGTGCAGCCTGCTTCTCGGCTTCCTTCTTTTCAGCCTCTTTCTTCAGCGCAGCCTGCTTCTCGGCTTCCTTCTTTTCAGCCTCTTTCTTTTCAGCCTCTTTCTTCAGCGCAGCCTGCTTCTCGGCCTCTTTCTTTTCGGCCTCTTTCTTTTCGGCCTCTTTCTTTTCAGCCTCTTTCTTCAGCGCAGCCTGCTTCTCGGCTTCCTTCTTTTCGGCCTCTTTCTTTTCAGCCTCTTTCTTCAGCGCAGCCTGCTTCTCGGCTTCCTTCTTTTCGGCCTCTTTCTTTTCAGCCTCTTTCTTCAGCGCAGCCTGCTTCTCGGCTTCCTTCTTTTCGGCCTCTTTCTTTTCAGCCTCTTTCTTCAGCGCAGCCTGCTTCTCGGCTTCCTTCTTCTCCATTTCTATTCTCTCTGCTTCTTTCTTATCTATTTCGACCGTTTCTTCTTTCTTTTCTGTACCTGAAATTACAACGAAAATAGCACTTACATATATATAAATCGGTAAAGGCACGTCAAGCTAAATGACGTTTCCGTATAGGATACAGGTTCGAACCCTGTCGGAGAACGAATATTTTCTGTGAAAATTTCTTGGACATTCAGGCCGGTACATGTTGTTTAATACTGTTTATTATAAACAGAGCATTTACTTAAATATTTGTATCTATAAAAAGAATGTATAAACATAAAAATGTCTTAAAATAATTGTCGGACTTTGTCTATTTCATAATGTGTATATATATATATATATATATATATATATATAGAGAGAGAGAGAGAGAGAGAGAGAGACAGACAGACAGACAGACATAGATAGGTATTATTTAAAAGTTATTGTCAGTGGATACCCGTATTTGAAATAGAAATCTCGTTTTTTTTTATTTTTTTTTGCTTTTTTTTTTCTAAACCGTGTGTATTACATGTATCGGGCTGTGCACTCCGGCATTTTCCTTAAGATTTCTTGAATGTGCAGGCCGATAGATGTAACAAGCATCGTTAAAAAAAACAAAATAAAATAAAACGGGGTGTCTATTTCAAATATGAATATCCACTAAAAATAACGTTTGACGTAATAGCAATTGTTGGATTAAAAATGAATCCAATAATTCTTTAGAAAATGCTTTGTCTGCGTTTCAGATGCAAAACTGAAGACATAACGACTTTCGAGAGAAAAAGTGGGCGAGATTTCCATAAAAATGGAGAAGTAGAACCGTTCTGGGTTGTTCACTTTCTGTGAACGAGTACTGTAAGGCACGCCGGATCAAATGTCGGTTTCTCCTACAAAGGGGGACTCAGTTTCGGACCCTGCCGGAGAAAACTTAACTTCGGTACATAATTATAACCGACGTTCGCTTTTATATCTTCCACCCTTAAAACTTTTCACTTCCATCAATAAAATCATTATTTCAATCCGACAAAGTCCTTCCAAAGGACGGAACGACTTTTTTCCACTTTGTCATTCAGCTGCCAAACATGATTATGATATATAAAAATGTATATACGATATTCTCCCATACACATGTGTATATATATATATATATATATATATATATATATATATATATATATATATATATTTGTGTGTGTGTGTGTGTGTGTGTGTGTGTGTGTGTGTGTGTGTGATAAGATAATTAAGAAATAGTAAACGTTTATCAATCTAACATGTTTCTCTTTTATTAAGGCTTCATCAGAAATGAGATATGGAGAAAAAGAAGAAACAGATTCTAGTATTTTTATTGGTGTGTTGTTTGATTTCCATTGGCTAATCGGGTTTACACGTGCATTCGACTTGTTAAACAAACGTTAGCATAATTTTTGGCGTTCCGAATTCAAGGAGAGACGACGCGTCTTTTCGAATTTCAAGAATTTAACAGATTCCATGCCGAATTGAAAAACGTAAATATTGCTTTATGTATGTAAGTGTATGATAATTCTAGTTTCTCTATGTGGAATTCGGGTGATAATTTATATTCGTAAGTGTGTGTTTTTATGTGTGTGTATCTAGTAGACATTATGTTTGTTTTTTTCATTTGCCAACGTTTTCACCTACATACCGTGTGTATTTATATAAACATATTTTAGATTCTTTAGGAATGGATTCAACAAAGGTTGGTGATGAAATATGTTTTTGACATGTGTTTATATTTGCTAATATTGTTATTAGTGGGCCCTCTAAACACTTTCTCCGTAAAGAATTGTTCTTTTTAACTAGAGTGGCATTCGTAAAATATGGCATGGCCAGTTTCGTTATCTGTTTTCGCTTATCTGTATAAGCACGTCAACGCATGCAAATACAGTTGCTAATATCTAATTATTTGGTTTATAAACTATTAGCATAGAACTTACGGTTACATCTAGCTATTTGAACTTCAAAATGATGAGACCTAACCGCCAATCTAGTATTGCGCTTACATTCGTAAAGTTGAGTTACCGTAGAGGAAAGCATATCAGAACAATTACTGTGAAAATATTTACAGAAATATTCTAGCAAAACTATGTTATGATGGTGGAAAAGCGACCGAAGCCGAGATGCCAGGTCAGAACCGATAACAATTCAGATTCTTTCGATTTTATCAAGAATCTCTAAATACAAAGAAGAAACACCAGACCAGATTTGACAGCAATATTCAATGTGTGAATTTTAGACTCATAAATATGTAAGATGTTTGGAGGCATATCGATCTCTATGGGTTATTTAATGCCGAAATCTAAATTTTCTGTAAGCAAATTTTTATTTTATTTTTGGAGATAAAAATGGTTTAGTGATACAAGTCTTACTAATTACCCCATAGCAGGGGGAAGAATTTGTGGATTCATACCTTTCACAAACCGATCCCTCAATTTGTGGCTACTGTAGTTTCTATACATTTATATTCCAGAAAATGTAAATAAATCTAAAAGATGTATGTGCAACTAATCGATATTTCATTGAGTGATTTGTTTTTCTACGGCTTATCGACCCTTTTCAGGTTATTTAAAGGCAGAAAATATTTTTAGATTGTAAGAATCTTTTTAGATAATAATGGGTTAATTATATAAGTCTTACTATTTAACCGATACTCAGGGGAGAAGAGATGGATTATATATATATATATATATATATATATATATATATATATATATATATATATATAAATATATAAAAAAAGGCTTAAACACTAATATAATATTCCATGGTCATAATTTATTCCATTGAATCGTAAATACGATCCAATTCATCGGACCTATTCAAAAAGAAAACACAAAAAATATATATATATATATATATATATATATATATATATATATATATTTCCTAAGGCTATATGTGCATATGTGAATATAACGAACCCAAGAGGAATTGGAACTCGTCTCTCCGATTAACAATTCAGAGCCATTATCCATTATATCACAAACACTTCCAAGCTCACACCACCTGGTATTCCCAAGTGATCACCTATCTACGTACTGAGTAGGCAGTTTTTCTAAATAATTTTAACTGGAATCGTTCACCTCGACTGAGACATTTTTTAATCCTTTCATCCCAAGCAAGGCAGCTAAGCCACTGACACGCAGGTGGTTAGTGAGTCTAAAAGAATATAAGAAAAACATTATAGCGGGGAGAGAAGAATAAAAGAATAGAAACTGAGACGTCAGAAAGTAAAGGCTGACATTGCATTTAAATTATTGAAGATCAAGCTTATTGAACCTGGTATTTCCACGAGAAAAAAAAATGTTTTCTAGCACGACACCGAGAACCATTTTTCCTAGGATCGGACCTAGAAAGTGATTATATATACTTTTTCTACTTTATATCGGCGTCAAACAATTTATTGGCTTGGCCAAAATATTCGCTCGATTTATTACGTATATGTCTTACTTAATAAGCGAACGTTTTGACCAACTCGGTAATTTTATTTTGCTTACCTTGGAAATTGAGTGTTATATTTGCGTTTGATTCTCCACTTTCGTTTGATGCGACACATTTGTAGACACCACCATCGGCAGCGGCCGGATCCTATAATAGAATATCGTAAATTTACTTACAAGAAAACCATTAAGAGAAATAAATTACTTCTTCCCTCCTCACATGCGAATATACGATAAGAAATGTCCCAAAGCTCGGATCAGTGATATGAAGTCCCAGATGGAAAGTCAGCAATAAACAAAGTGGGTCAAAAGTAGAACCTTCATTACAGTAAATATATCATTCCCTCCCAGGAAAGGCAATAAAGCCACGAAGATGCGAAGGATTGTAGAGAGGGGAGGAAAAACAGACGGCAATAAAAGAACAGTGACTAAACTAACAAAATTCATTCTATTTACACTATTTACACCCTTGTCCAAATTAATTGAAACAACCGCTTTAATTTCCTTTCTTTCACCATACAGTCAGTTTTAGACCCATTGGAATGACAGGGTGTAATTGATTTCTATTTTTTCCTCAGATTAGGTCATTTGCAGTGGTATGCAGTAATATGAATCTATTTTCGGGATATATGATGAAATTTGTTTGGCCTTGAAAAATATTGTGTCATCCGTGATTGCATCAGATTTTTACCACGCCCAGACACTACTGTCTCGATTGTCGATTAGTTGTCCTATGGCCATTGTCTGCGATTAACGTTACACCAAGGAAGCATACGAAAATTGTAACGCTGCACGAACACACTAGGATCCTTACCAGTGAGCAAAATAAAGTACTATCGATTGTCCTGGAAACTCTCCTGATTTAAATTTAAATCCAATCAAGAATCTGGACTCAATCTGAAGAGGAACGATTTCGTGGAATGAATATACGAAGTACGAAGATGTGCACTCTGTCATGTTTCATTGGGAAAAATACGAAACAAAAGTAAAAATTAACGGAATCATTCGTTTTGTTTCAATTAATTTGCATAAAGGTGTATATTCGGAATATTGCCCTCCTCTTTGTTGTTATCACAACGTTTCAGTCATTGTGCCCTCCGCCTTCCTCAGGTCTATATTGATCTGGGTAAGTCTGCAATAAAGATGAGGAGAATAGTGCGAATATAAATAATGTAAGTAATGATAACTCCTCATCCCAGAAATTCAGACAGGCAAAATTGATTCTAACCATGGTAAACACTGGAGTGAAAAGTGTAACAGTAAATCAGCAGCAGTCACAGTTTCAGCTATAGCAGCAGGCAGACAGTAAGAACATTAATTTTAACGACCCCAGTTATAGACTCCGGATTGTACCAGAAGACAATAGCATAGATTATTAAAATATTGGTTCGTGGATTTTGCGATGTAGTAATTGTGAGTTCAGACTCCGTAAAAGGTTAACAGTACTAATTTCAAAGCGGCTTTTTAAAATGTGAATGTTTTTGCATTACTCTTATTAACGTTAGTTTTATTTAAGTCCTTCCATTTCTTCAAAACCATTTAGGTCAAAACTGGTACAGACCTAAGATCATGGAAAGGTGTTTCACAATTTTTGAAACGAAATAATCGGGTACAAATCAAGGACCATAAATGATAGAATAATGGAAATTACGTTTATTGAAAGGTAAAAGGATAACATTTTAGGATCTGCAACCATTTAGTCTCAAACATGAACCAAAAATGTCAAGAGGACCCCTAGAGTATATACTCCAGATGTCCGCCGTTCAGTTGAAGGCATTGTTGAATGTAAAGTTGTTGATAACGTGTTCACAATGCTCCTGGGGGATCGCTTGAATCTTCTCAGTGATAGCTGCCTTCAAAGCAGAAGCGTTTTCCCTAGTAGATGTTGTCCTTCAGGAGCCCTCATAAGAAGAAATCTGGGGGGTTCAGGTCAGTGAGTGAGGTGCTCATTCCACTTCAGCTTTGCGGCTGAGACATCCCCCCCACCCACCAAAAAAAAACATTTCACGGAGCCATGCCATGGTAATATTGGCAACGTGACGAGGAGCACCATGATCATGGGACCACTGGTCCTCACGCTCCTCGAGCTCTCCTCATAAGAGTCGGCTGCTTTGTTTCAACAATTGTGAAATACCATGTATTCATTTCTTCATTTCTTTTTCATGGCTCTCCACAATTTCCTGTCCTTTGTAGCTCTTAATAAATTTTGTCTTTTTGCTATCTCCCCTAAAACTTGTTCTGCCATTCATTTACTCAAGCTGATAAGGTAGCTTATGCATTTTTTCCTTCGTCCCTCTTGCCTTCAATCTGTCCTTTGAGTATTAGATTTTCTAAGTCCTTTTTCCTCATTATGTATCCTAGAAATTTCAACTGTCTTTGCCTGGTTAATCATAAGTGTCCTTTTTGTTTTCATTTTCTCTAAAACTTTGTCGTTGCTTCCAAGTTTGGACAATGGTATTCTCAGCATCCTTCTGTAGAACCACATTTCTGTTACATCATTTCTTCCTCTGCGAGAAACTTTATGTTTTCCAAGCATTTTGACGGGATTTCTCGCAATTATATTTGCGAATTTATAAAGTTAAAATACAGTATTTAAATACATATCGAATTCCTTTTTCAGTTCTTTATCAATAGTTGTCAGCTTATGTTACAGTAAAACGAGAACAATCTATTCTCATAGATTAAATAAAGGATCCAGTTCGAAATTTCCTGAAGGTTTTCCAGATTGACAGACTCCTGAGTAAGGCTGGAGAGCACAACGGCTTGTGCTAATGACAACAAAGTTAAGGATATTAAGCCACCTGTAAATGATATAAATATTAAAATCATAATCAAACTCAACTTTTTACAAAGTTATGTTGTTCACTCTGTACAAGGCCCAAGAGCCACTCGATGTAGAGGGTTACAGAATAAGGGGCACCACTCCAAAAAAGGTGATAATGTCACCAAATCGCATTGGGTTACCAGAAGTGAAAGAGAATAAAATCCTTTAGAAGGAACTGAAACGCAAACAGGAAACGAGTGATAAACTTCTATTCCTGTTCAAAAAACCGGAAAGGAGGGTGACCCAATCCCAATTTTGAAAAACTGCTAATACTCACCCGAATTAAAAGAACAACTATATACAAATTGGGGCCTTTTGCATCTTTTGTTATCGATAAAGTGTAACGTCCGCCCTGCTTGATCTCCGTTGCTTCTTTGAACCACTTGATGGTCGGAGCCTGGGCCGATTCCAGGTTGCACGTCATCGTCAGTTGGTTCTTTTGCGGCTGTCTGATCTCAGGCTTCTGAATAAAATGCGGTGCTTTACCAGCCTCGCTGAAACGTAAGACAAAACAGCCATTGTTATTTGATTGAGTAGTAATTTCAATATGGCTATTTTATTCACATTGTGATATTAAGCATTCAACTAACACTTTATAGAAGTTTAAGGCGTCGAAATAAAATGCACACATCTTCATGTCAGTCATTACACATCAAATGAAGTTTAAACTTTGTAGCAAAATCGTAAAAAATCTGGTGCAATATTATTTTAATTGTATTTTGTAAATTATTTTCAAAGGACTTAAAACGATTACTTGGTTACTTATTTTATTCCATTATTTTACTTAGAATTATTCCCACGTGATGCAAACAATAATCAGTGCATTATTTAAATAACTTACCCGTAAAAAATCAACAGTGCCTTTTTATATCCATCTGCCACTTATATTATTATCAACTAAGATTTTTTTTTTTTTACGCAAGTAACGAAGTAATCCTTCTAAGTAACGAAGTAATCCTTCTAAGTAACGAAGTAATTTTAAATTTTCTAAGCGTTATAACTTCTAAATAATTTAAGAAAGTGAAATGATATCAATATGACTAACTCCTATTTATTTGACTTTTCAGGAAGAAAAGCAAGAAAAAGAATGTTTTAGTTTGTGTCATTGGGTTTAAAGTAGATAACATGTTTGATTTTAGTTCAGAATGTTTAAATCTTAGTATTTTTTATAAAGCAGTGATTTTAATTTTCTAGACTTTTAAATAGTTTCATAATCTGAAATGATATCAACATGACAAACTCAGATTTATTTTTATTTTTATAATGCTTGTTTTACTACTGTTCTGTTGAAATATTTGCTAACTTGGTTTGCAATAAATAGTATTTCTTAAAGAATATTTTTACTCTGAATAACTATTAAAATTTTTTCAAATAATTGTTTTCACTAATCTTCTATTACGTTATTTAAAATACTTTGTTTTAATATTTATTTTTTTCAAAAGTATTTTTATTTTTTATACACCAGGCACAGGTTTCACACTAAATAAACTGCACAAAAAGTTGAATAGAAACAATTAAATAAAGTTCATATTTGTATGCAGTGGCGTAGCTAAGGAGGGGGGCGGACCGCCCCGGGTGCCAGCACAGGAGGGGTGACACAATGTCACCCCCAACAAAATTTTTCAACCAGGCTAAGGTGCCAAAAATAGTCTGAAAACAGTGGTGGCGACACAGGGTTTCGCAGGCTGGCATATGACCCCCCAGAAATAATTTATGACCCCCCCAGTTTTGTCCCCCCCCCCCGTCAGAAATTTTCTAATAAATTGTAGGGAAATTTGTGAGTAGGAAAAATAGCAATGTTTTCAGCTTTTGATTTGAACTGATTATTTTGTGGTATTGGATTTTGTCTTGGATCATACAAGTAAACAGTAATGTACCGGTCAGTAGAGTAAAGTAGAGGTAGAGCATGTATGAAAATTTAGCTACAGCTAACCATTCAGCATAGGGTGAATCGGGGTCATTGGGGTGACATTTGAGCGGACCGCCACGGGTGACGTTTACTCTAGCTACGCCACTGTTTGTATGTGACTTTAAAAAAAAATCTAAGGTTTTATTTCATAACATTTAAATGTATACCCTTTAAAAATGTTGTAAGTGTGCCATGATATTTTCATTTGCTTCTAGGTGTGCCGTTGCTTAAAAAGGTTGAGAAACTTGTCTAAGAGATTCAAAAGGTAGTAAGGCAATCTTGTATCTTGTATATGAAAACATTTTCACTAAAGATTAATATCTGTTTATTTCGAGACAGTTCATGAGTGCGCACGAAGGTTTTTTACTTTCAAAAGGGCAAATGAAATTTGTGTTCAAAAAGTTTTAAAAAAATAGAAAGGACAATGTTATACTTACGTTTTTTTGCCTGATTGTCAGGAAGAAAAGGAGGAAAAAATAAGAAGAAAAATGTTAGGAATGTATTTTTGGATATAATAAAATTTATTGAATTTATTTTTCATATAAAGTTTAAAATTGTTTAAAATCACTTTGTAAGGAGTCAACAAGTGTATCCATATAATCTTTACTGTATTTATACTTTGACCAGAAACGATCATTAATATTTTAACACACGGAAAGAAAATACGAGGGCTGATTGATAAATTAAACTCGTATCAATACTTCTTTTTCTAGGACTGCATATTTGATAAACTTTAACTTTCAGATGGACATAACCATTTTGTCTTAGAAAAAACAACACCCTGATGATGGCACTGTGCTAATGTCGAAAGTACTCGGAATAAATGAATATGTATCAACAGTGTAATTTTCTCTCGTCCTTTAATAAGGATAGTAAGAAGCTTGTCCGTGAATATGCGATGATCCTACTAAAACTAATAAGACAAGACTTGTCTAAATTATTCAGCCAACATGTCTCAATGAAAACAGCCTGCCAAAATATATACAATATATATATATATATATATATATATATATATATATATATATATATATATATAGTATCAGTTCGCAGTGGGACAATATAGCGTAATAACATTTGTTCATGATTACTACGTTAAAGCTATGTATAAAGCAGTAATCATTGATAAAAGTTTTCGCGCCAATCAAAATTCACTGATCTATAAAAGCTTACGAGCGCTTAAATAATTCATCTACATAATATGGTCTTTAAGAATTTGCATTTCGATAATTCAAGACCTCATTAAAATCAGCAAATGCCAACATTGGTATGAAGCCTGAAATGCGTAGTTGTTGCATAATGGTCCATCCAACTCCGTGTGGCATGATTTTCTTTTTTTTTTTTTTTTTTCCGAAAATTCATAATCAATGAAAGGTATTTTTCATCTGACTCCAAAGTTGAAAATGATTTGAAGAAAAATACGATTGTAATATTGAAAACAAATACACTGACTTCATTTTCATGTTAATTTTTTAAAATCTATCTGGTCTAAGTCTTAATTTAAAATATTTTAATCCTGTAGAGAAATAAATTTGCTTCATTTTGACACTAGTTTCATTATATTCGATCACAAACCTTATAGGGTTGAAGACATTACTTATCATTTCAACCCCTCGTAATCTTGAAGAGAAATAAATTGCCTTCATTTTGATACCAGTTTCATCATTCTATCTGGTCTAAAACTTGTTTTATAGGTTTAGACACCTTACTTATCAATCAACCCTCGTATTTTTGAAGAGAAATTAATGTTCTTCGTTTTGATACCAGTTTCATTATTCTGCTGGTATAAAACTTGATTTATATGATTGAAGACTTTACATATTAACCAGTCACTCCTCATCCTTTTATATTTAATGTAACAGCATTTTTAATTTACTTTTTCGTTTCGTTTTTTAACTTTACATTATATTTACATAAAACAATTTAACAAAGACTGTATAGGAATATCTGCAAAACATTAAAAAGACACATTTCATCGACCGTCATTTCATATCGCATACAAATAATTAGAAAATTATAACATGTTGATGTTTAATAATGATTAAAACATGAAACTTTTGACTGACCCGTTAACACTGATCATTCGAAAACGAGAATAAGAATAATTTATATTCAAATAACATTTGCATCTCTGTTTAATAAACAAATTCATTCCCGACTTGAGAAAAACTTATACACATCCAACCGCCTTTAAGATAAGTTCAGATTGCTAGATTATATTCATAATATCATATTCAATTTACTTCGCATACAATTGTTTACAAAAAGGTACAGAATAATTGTTTTTACCTGACGTTACCTGTAAAACCACAAACATTCTTGAGCGTATAACATTCATTGCAAACCGAAAATACCAACAATAAGTATAATAATATAGTATTATTAAAGTATTATCATTATTATTACCACGAGAAAGAAGAAAATATAGATAATGATGATAAATATATATACATATATAAAAAGATATTGGCGCCAACTGTTAGAGGATAAACAATCCATTTGCCCCACTTTTGGATAAGCAGTCTATTATCGTTTATTTATGCTTGTTTTTATACATCGGAATGGGTAATTGTATAAGACATTTTTTTTTTTTTATATTCGTATATTCGCAAAGTCCATAAAGTCTATAAAAAAACAAATTTAAACTAAATGGATTTAAATATTCGAATATTCGGAAAGTAATTAATTTTTACCAGAATTATTATAAAAACAAATTTAAACAAAATTTATTCAAATTCTCGTATGTTCGCAAAGTAACAATGTTTTACCAGAAAGACAAAAAAAATAAAAAATTTAGTTAAATTTTATTTTAATATATATGTTTTCGAATAGTAATTACGCTTTATCAAAAAGGCTAGAAAGACAAATTTAAATTAAATTTGTTTTAATATTCGGATGTTCGGAAAGTAATTACGTTTTATGCTATAAAACCAAATTTAATTTAAACTTATTTTTGTTATTCTGATATCCGGAAAGTAATTAGGTTTTGCCAGAAAGGCGATATAACAAATTTAAATTTGTTTAAATATTCGGATTTCTGGAAACTAATTACGTTTTATCAGAAAGGATACAAAAAACAGATTTAAGTTAACTTTATTTAAATATTATTTATCAAAAATCTAATCACATTCATTTTCATCAACTGCAGCCCAACAGGAAGGCAAATTTTCGATTTCATCTTTAAAGAAATCTGGGGTTTTCCCCCAAACAAACTGTCACCGACTGTTTTCAACTTCTTTGCTCCTGAATATCAAACCGCTTATGAAATGTTCTCGTGATCAAAAGAAATGAACAATCTGTAGGTGATAACTCTGGTGAGTATGGCAGATGTGAAAAGATGTTCTATCAAAACGACCTCAATTCTTCTTGGGCTTGTTCTTCTTGGGCTTGTTCTTCTTGGGCTTTCTTTACTGACTGCGACTTTGCTTGGTCACGCTGGAGAATAATATCTTTTATGTTTATCGAACCAGGATATAGAAGACGCAAGGCTTATTTTACCCGATCTAGTTGTTGGC